TGAACCTCAGCAGGTTCCTTTCTGCCCAAAAAAATTTTTGCTGCCCTGTGAGGAATTTTAAGAAAAAAATGCCCTTGCAGTATGTTGGTGGTTATGTGTGACAAGCTTAAGAATATAATAACGATCAGAAACTAGTGTTAAATACCCTGTTAGAGCATAGCATGAGAACAGGTTTGTGAAAGACAATAGCCTTATAATAGTTTTTCTACTACGACTTCTAGGTGATAGATACTGTTACATTTGGCAAAAGAGTGGTTCACAAACTAAAGGTGTGTTTTGTTTGCGACATGGCGTTTGAGAAGTGTGTAATGAATAGCAGGTCTCAGTTTTCTTTGGAGGGAATTTGTTCAGTACAGGGAATCTCATTGATGTGCCTTGTATCCAGCAGATCCCGCAGGACAGTAGTGTTGGAAAGTCAGCCATGAGAAAGGTGTAGAGTCTAATGGAGAAGCTGTCTGCTGCATCCTTGCTTTATACTTGTAACATGTATATAGGAGTATTCCATCATAAATATGTCACGTTAAATTTTGTGTTGTGTGGAACACTGTTGATTACCTGAATCAAGAATCTCTTTGCAGTTGGAAGTAATGAGAAGCTAAAGAATGGAAAAGGTTGGCAGGTGAAGGAAACAACTGGGTTACAACAGAAGTTCAACCAAAATCTAAGAAAAGAGCAGTGAACTCTGGAAAGATTCTGCAAAGGGTGGACTAAGGAAATTTTGAGCAGCTCTTATGTCACATGAAATGGGATGTGTCTAAGAGATAAATACTGTAATTAAACTACAGTTAGTTGTGAGTCACACTGTGGAAGTTCACCCACTGCAAGTCTTAAGAGATGCTAAAAGCATTAGATAGCACTGAAAGCAGTTCTGAGATCAGTCTTGTAACGTTACTGGAAGAAGGCAAAAACGGGGGTGTGAGAGTGTGAGCTTGATTTGGAAACAGGCAGATAAATGCTGATCCTGGAATTGGTTTGAGGAAACCAGACAGTCTCCATGAATTCAAGCAGAAGTGTCTGTAAAAATCGGAATCTGATCAAGGCTTTTTCAAGTCAGGTGTAGTTCCAGTATTTAACCATCCTCAGTCATTTTTTTTAAACTTACATCTAATCAGAATTTTCCATTTTCTTGCTGGTGTCAGTTACCTCTAGCCTTGTCTATACCATCCAATTAAGTACTGAGGGCAGCAGTCCTTATGATTCATAGTAAGTATGAAAAATGCAAAGAAGAAAAGGACATTATCAACACTCTAAAGTTTAATCACTTTGTATATGTAATTCTCTTTAGAAGCTTCAAACTTTGCCACATTGAAGAAGTGCATGTTTGCATTGTGGTCAGGCGCTTACACTATTTATAAAGCATTTGTATTCTCTTGCACAAAATTTATAGCTTGCTGTGATACAAATAGAGAAAGTTAAAATGGTTTTATGCAACCAAATTTATTTTGAAATCTGGACTTTAAAAATATATCTATTAAATATTGCTATCAAAAATGAAGGATAAGACAAATGATGAGACTTCAGTAATTATCCATGGCTATTAGTGTTGGTTTTGCAGGCACAGGGTGCACATAATGTGGTCTCTCAGTTCCATGAAAAAGGACTTTAAGAGAACCACTGATAACTGACTTCTGCAGGATCTTCTCTGTTAAGGGTAGTGCCTGATAAATGCAGCCTGAAGAATTGATTTTGTGACCTAGTAGTCCCAGAGTTAAGTGTTATCAGGATTGCTAATAGTCTAATCTGAGTTTGAGATACCCTTTATCATAAGTTGTTGTTAGTCATGAATTCCCATCAGAGCTATTTTGTCAGACCAGGCTTCCGTAATGATGATGTTTTTATTGATAGCAACAATATTTTTGTTTTTATATATGTACCACTATCAGACCCTTTAATGATTTTTTTATTTGGAAGGGTACAGGCTCTTAGAGGCTTGAAAAATGCTGAGAACACTGGATCACATTAAGTAAAATGCTTATCTTGCATGTATGATGGAGCCAGTTAACATGCTTAATTGCTTTGCTCTCCCTGGGCCACTGTGCTGCAACCCTGATTATATAAGGGTGAGAGGTGATTTGGGTATTGAAATTTTCACAGGATATGTACAGGATAGCTAATCTTATTTTTAAAAAAAGAAATTTGAACTGTAAATTTTACAGTATGGGGAATTTTTATGCTTCAGAAATTTGTCTTGCCTCCAGAGTTAGGAGAAAAATAAGTGAAAAAAGAATCTGAGAAGAAAAAGTGAAAGAAAGTAAAGGGGTATTATGGGGAGAGTTGTGTGGTGGTTTTTTTTTTCAAGAGCATTACTGTTTTTGAAAAAAATTGAGTATTTGCAGTTGCAAAAGTGAGGTACAGCGAAGATATACACTCTTGTCTTCAGAACAATAGTGTCTGTATTTGTTCAGCCTTACATATAGTCTGTTTAATTTTTAGATAAAATTTAAAACTTAATTGAAAATAATAATGAACTAAACATGCATTTTGTTAGTACCAGTTACGGTCAGAAAACAAAATTCTAAAGCCATGGGATTTTTTTTGCATGTTTAAAAGGCTGATAATCTAATTGCAAATCTAAAATACAGGGGATTAGATTGCAGAATAAAATTCCCCTTTCTGTAACACACTCTGACTTCCAGTGTAACAGCACACCCTTTAGTGGACACAAGCTGCTTGATTTTCTTAAAACTAGTTTACAAGAAAAAATTGTTTGAAATTTCTAACAAAAAAAACCCCAAACCCACCCATAGCAGTAGAAAGAATATTCATATTTTTCTTATCTTGATTTTTCCTTTCTTTAACAGTGACTTGTTATCTTCCAATTATGTGGAGATTCACTATGAAGATGGAAAACAGAAGTTTTCTAAGGTATTGTGGCCTTAAAATGCGTGAGAACGGTCTTTCTGAGGGATCAATGCCATAAAATGCTAAAAAAAAAGGAAAAAAAAAAGTTTTGCAAGACTTTTAAAAACACTGGAAGCCTTTTTTTACACATACAAGGCAACCGTGATCTCATCTTGTAAGGATACCTCAGTAACACAAGAAGAATTGTACAAAAAAGGAAAGCTATGTGTCAGAGTGAGGGATAGGCAGTGGTAGGTGTTAGTAGTGAAGATTATCCAGATACTGCCAGAACAATTACATCTTGTAAAATGTAGGGGGTGGAGGGGTTGAAGTCACCATCAGTACAGTCTTCATTAATTATTTACATGTCCTTAGCACAAAGTGCAAGGGGAAGGGATAATGGTAATATAAGACATTCAAGCAAACAAAAAAAACTTGCAGTGACTTTTCTTTGCAAGAATTACACAGTTGTGAAACAGAAAATGAAAGACGTAACTGAAATCTTAACCTCTGGAGTTATTACAAAACCAGCATAGTTCTTGACATCCAATTAAATACAGTTGTCAAACTAGCTCCCAAATTGAATTCAGTGCCATAGGCTATTGATCCAATGACAAAGAGATTAAAGTTATGTAAGATAGTTCAGCCCTGACTAAGGGAACCAGATAAGTCTTTTTGTTTGTTGTAGTAGAAAAATGAGGACTGGTTGGTTCCTAGGAAGGTTATAAACTACACTTTCAGGGAATTACTTTTTTCATATTTGGTATGAATGCTGGAATATTTGTTGTGAGTTTATTATATGTGAAATATGTCTCTATTTAGAGCAGAGGAAAGCAAGCATTCAAGTTGCATTTATGCCTTGAAAACAACAGTCAGGACTGTTGTTTGTCCAAGTATTATATATTTGATTCATTATTTTTTCCTTGTTATAGAGAATCTCAAATAAAACAATATATCACAGATTAGGGCAAAATTAAACAATCACATGGCAATATAATTATTGCAATATACTGCTTTGTTTTCTTCCACTGAAGAAGAAAAATAACTTCACGTAACATGCTAAGGAAGTTGTTTAACTTAGTTAAGACTCAGTACTCCGCAGAATAGGCAAAAATGCTAAATGATGCAAGAAAACAATTCCCTCTGGCATTTCGACAAGCTCATGCAATTGTCAGCTGCAGCATTAGCACTGAGCACTGCGGTTGCTGAATCATGAATCTGACTGGAAAAATTATATTAGAACTTTGGACTCAGCGAATGGACTACCTTTGCATGCTGCAGTAACTTGATCCAGACTTCCTAGGGAATGTTTTCTGAATTTATTTATTTAGAAACAGTAATAGATCTCTTGAGGTCACAGTAATCTGTAAAAGGCTTAATTAGAAGTTCAGAAAATATACTTACAATTTGGATAGGAGATCAAATAAGGACTATTCTGGTCTTTTAGAGTATCTTATAATCATTTTAGACTTGAATCAGTAAAAAATTTTGTTTGCTGATGTGGGTGTAAAGAAGTGAGATCTTGATGAAAAGTATTGTATTTTCTAGAAATAGGTAGTTCGTTACAAGAGTGAAAACACTGGAGAACAAACAGCAGTTTCTTTACTCAGATGACTGTCTTTAAAAAAAAATACTGAAAAGCTACTTGTGTGAGAAAGATAATCACGATTTAGTTGTTAAAAAGCATGGCTTATGTATTCTCATTGATGGAAAGGTAAGTATGAAGTGATTGCTTTCTGTGTAGTACTTTGATTTAATTATGCACAACAGTCTTGCTAGGAATTTAATTCAGAATCTGAATAACTCATTAAATAAGATGCAAAATGAAAACAGTGCTGTGCATACTTAAACAAAGAGCATTTACATTTTTTGTACTTCCTTCAGTTGTAATTGCAGAAGAAATGGTCTAATATGTGGAATTCAGGTGACATGCACCAGAATTAAAAATATTTTGATGATGAATGATAACTTTTTCAAACAGTGTGTCAGAGACACAACCACACTTAAGGGTTTTTAATAAAACTTTTTGAGAATATTTTTTATCTTTAGTTTAGCTGGATCTGTTGCTGATAGATGTTAAAGACCAACTACTTAAATGAGGTAAATTAGGATCATTAAGTTTTCCTCACTTTACTGACCTATAGCAGCAGAATTTCTGGTATTTAACAGCTTCTAAATTCACTAGCCCTTTTTCTTTAGAAAAGTCAAAGTAATGCTTTAGAAAGTCAAAGTAATGTTTCTTGTTTTCTTTCTAAACATTCATAGTTAGAATAGTCTGTTAATGTTGCTCTTGATGCTTTGTTTCTGTTGATAGAAAATAAATATACTCCACTTGTTTACTCAGTTGAACCATTCCTATGAAGCCTTTTTTTTTAACTCTTTAGTCATGATAAATAATTCTGTAAGCCTCTAATAGTCTATTCCTCAGCGATTTATGGAATTTTAGGGATTAGTAATTCTGTTGTCCAGCAATAACGATGGAATTAGTTTCTGTATCAGAATAGAGATAAAGGATTTAATAATTTGCCATGTGGTTGCCTATAGTATGTAATCCTAAAAATATGTTAAAGTTTTTAGGTTTTTATACATATTTAGCTATTTACAATCAATTAAACAAAACTCTTGATAGTGCAGTAGAACTCAACTTCCATTACATGCAGAAATTAAATCACACAGATAACACTAGAACATTTAGAGAAAAATGACTAATTGTGAAACTATAGAAAATTTAAAAAAATCCGGTATTTAAAAAATCTTAATTAAATTCTTTTAACACTAGTAATTCTTGTATGTAAGTACATGGTGCTTTGACAAAACAATTATTTCTGAATTTCTCTTCTGAATCATTTATTTATTGTAGTCTCCTGTTAAGACCTCCTCCTAGAAGCCTCCTCACCTCTGGGGTACAGACTCATGTTCCCCTCTTTCCTACTTAAAAATCTTTGTGTTTTCTACAAAATTATACTGCTTTAGCTTGATGTATGTAGGGTGCTCTGACACAAAGTAGCCAGTAGCTTTGGAGATAGAGTACACTTTTAGAAGGTGGGGAGGTGTGAGCTGGCTCTCCTCAAGGTGACTTGGGAA